AGCAGCGACAGAGTTGTAACATGAGGCAAGATTTCGAATTTTGCTGGAACTGTTTCCTTGGTACGATTACATCATCACTGAGATTATGCGCTAACGGGCCATGCCAGCAAACGAATTGTTATAATGAAATTGAAAAAGTTAATAGGTTGTAAAAGTTCTATCGTATTCTTAAATGCATGGGAGCAATTTTTTCACACCAATTAAGGAATAACATGTTTTGAGCCGTCAGGTCTAGTGCTATACAGGCGCCTGTTTCGTCCTATCGAGGCTCATCAGTAGCACCCTCCTTTCGCGTTTAGTAAAGCCAAAAACTCAACTGCCGGTTACCACGGTGTCACATAATTCCATTACCAGACTTACAGTGATATTACTCGGCGTCGATTTTTTACAGAGGATTATTTGGCATTAGGGATCAACTCAACCGAGGGAGGGTGCTTCTGATGAATCCCGGTAGGACGAAACAGGCTCCTGTATAGCACTAGACCTCACGGCTCAAGAACATGTATATAATTATCAGATTATATCGTTTCAAGCGGATCTATGAAAAGCGGTCGAAAGGAAAAGTGCACTAATCAAGCTCAAACGAAAGGTCGATTAATGGTCGAGGTAGTTTCTCTCCACACCAAGCCACTTATTCACCCACCTATTCAGCCACTTAACCGACAGCATGAAGATTCTGTGGAGGTAAAACTCAGGTCCTTCCGATTGAAAAAAAATTTGAAGACTTTACATAATTTCGAGAGCATTTTGGAACTCCTTGCGTCTCAAAAAATTTTCCCGTTGCGGAGATAGTCACTCGATGCCTTGTCCGAGTTAAACGGCGGATACTCCAAAACCTTCCATCCATAGCTTGCAAATGATTCTTTATCGCGCTCGCTGTGTAGGTTTTGCGTTGTCGTTGTAAAAGATTATTGGCGTTTGGCAATTTTGCCGCTTCTGACGGTCGCTTCGGTCAGTCGATTTCCTTCTTTACGGAATCTCTTCAACTAAAAAAATGACAAAATTGTGCCAGTAGGGAATCACAACTCAATGCTCTTGAAATATGAGTTCTCAGCTTCCACCTTGATTGGCTGACAATCGTTTATCGCCTTAATACCTTTCTCCACAAGGAGTTTAGGTGGCATACAGTTGTTCTTTTAGTTATGTTGTGTTCGTTTATTGCAAATGTCCAAACCGTTGGAAGCGTGATTGCTTTTCGTCTGTAGAAAATTATTGCTCTCTTGATGGAAAACAGAAAAGTTCAGAGCACTAAATACACATAGAAGTTTTGTTCTATTTCTATTATAAACCGAGGCGAAAAAAGAGACCAAAATTTGTCTTGGAACTCTAAATAATCAGAGTTTTATCTCATCAAAAGAGCAGCTAGCGCCTTGTGGAGGAGAACGTCTGGGCTGATTTGTATTCAAATGTGACACTTGTTTTTCGTTGATTTCGTTTCTTCATAGTGAAGCATTTTGGCGGAGGGAAATTATCGTGAATTTGTCAAGTTAGCAGAATACTATATCTACTTCATTATTCTTTTCTTCCTTTCGATAACATAGCACTCCTATGTTACTAAACGGCAGTCAGAGATAATTGTTTTGTGTTATTTTAGTCATACTTCAAAAATTTCCAATAAAATGAATAGCATAGTCAGCTTGTGGTTATTGCCGATATCGTCATTCACGTGAGTTTTCTTAATCGCGAAAAAAAAAGCAAGTGGACGGTCTCTAAGAAAGTTCGTAACTCTCTATATGTAGAAAATTGAGCTACTTGTATGGTTCTTCCGTAATTGAAAAGAGAACACAGATACGTGACAATCATTGGTATCGATCACCTCAGTAACTAGTTTATAAAAAAGAATAAATCGCTGAAATTAATTCCTTCTTTTTGGATAATCCGCACAATAATCATGTCATAATGAATAAGTAAATAAAGCTCCGAGCGTTGATTAATCCCTCAGGCACACGCTGTTCATTCGACTTCATCAAGCGTCGTTAGAGGCGACTGAATACATCTCTGACCTTCAAAGTGGGTATACCGATGTAACAGCTCAGTTCTGCTAAGCTTCCATTCGACACTTTTACCAATTTGCAATCCCACAAAGATGGAACTCTTGGTGAGGCTTTGACGCGATGTCGAACTAGCAACCACTTGTGTGTCGCAAAGTAACAATAGACACTGCGCCAAACACTCACTTAGCAAAGTGAATAAAAACAACAATGCTGAGAACGATGTCGATTTTGTTCTTGTTGTTTGCCATAAGGATCCCAAACGACGCCACTTATTTGGACGACATCCACCATTTCTTGGCAGTTATGAAGAAAGTTCAGTGTATTTTGTCGTTAGCTTCTCCCTCACTAGTATTTCTCTACGCGGTTCTTGTTCCAGTAGCAAAGAGTACAATGATTTGTGCTTTGAAAAGTCTATTCATATTGAAATAAACGCTTATTGGCGCATCAGCTTCGTTGGTGCTATCATAAAACACCCATAAATCAACTTAAAATATTCAGAAAAAGCTAACCGGCTATTTTGGTACGTATACAAAACCATATTGCTTGCATTGTTGTGGTCCGAGAACAATCATTACAATATTCTTTGCAATCAGAGAAGTATCAAGAGAGGACAGAACGTTTGAATTGAAACAGAACGAATAGGGGAAAAGTAGGGTAATTTTGCAAACCTGAGCTAGCATTTCTTCCACGAACAGTTGTGGAAAATTCTCCCTTTTTTGCATTGCCATTATAGAATCTGCCATTTATATCACCTCCAATCTTGTCAGTCACGTAGAGACTGATGTCGCTATGACCTATCGTGAACAAGTACTCAGCAAAGTTACGTGGCGCATTTTAAGATTGCTCAGGTGGAAGTAAAGTGCAATTCAAAGGCGGCATTGTACTCTTCTTGAGAGATTTCTGATTTTGCACGAAAAGAGCTGAAAATTCCCAGAGCAACTGCCTATAAATAATTTGGTAGCCTGACAGAAGTCAAACTGATTCGCAATCTACTTAGTCAAAACCTTTCCTAACCCAGACAGAAAGACATAGTAAACTTGAGCTTGGTCTTGAAAAAGCACTGGAAACGAACGACATAATAAACGACTTTTCTTAACCACAAAGTCAAAGACTTTTCCTCAAAAGACTTACTGTTTAGCTGTTCCTAAGACTCCCAATTGAAGGCAAGCCGCTCGAAGTCTCGTATAGAGAGAAATTGTGCCTGACCTGAGTCAAAAAATTAGCTTAAAGTATAGTGTCAGCTCACGCATAATCACAGGCACTCCTTGCGGTCCCGGAAAAAAATGGCTAATGTGTCTTTCTCTTAGGATTATGAAAGCATTTGACTAAGTACAACCGAATCATTTCGACCTCTCCAGGCTCTGAAAAAGATGAAACCGCCGAGACGTCAGCCATTGTGTTATTGCTATTCTGTATTATTCCAATCAATAAATACTGTCACACACATCTCTCATCTGCGTATCAAGGAAAAATACGGAAAAAGTTACTCGCCTTTGTTTTGCAGGGCATACTGATAGCTTTCATACACATTATCACATTCATTCATTGCTGCACGTGCGCAAGTGTTCTATTTCTCCTGCATATTTCATCAAATCACTAGAATATATGTGGGTGGAAATCTGATATTATTTCAGTAGTTCGCAGACTACACTACTCCTGAATAGCCTTAAGAATTATATGCAAGATTCACGATATACAAAGGACTTTCTCAATACTTTGAATAGTCCGTCGTCACATCATTTCTTTTTCGCTCTACAGATCCACCAGTACTTCTCTCATTCAATTCTTTTTTTCCGTCTTCTTCTTAACCGTCGTAGAATACTGGTTGAGCACATCTCCTTACAATCTCGAGGATAGCCTGGCTGTGGCGTTCCATAAGTCTTTCTGTGGAGGCTGCAGCAGAGTGTTAGGGGGTAGAGCTTACAGTGCGAGCGCTGTGACAAGCAAAACAACCACTCGGCCGCGAAACCCCCATAATAAAGACAGTAAAAGCAAAAAAAGTGCTCATACAATAACCATGGTATTTTCGTGTCTGCCGGGTAAGTAAAATTTGCTAAGTATTAAAAGGGCACATCTAGTATCGGGTGAAACTTTCGTGATCCGACTCTGTGATTAACAAGCTTACAGGTTCCACAGTTCATATTGTATCTACCAACTTCTTGTTATCTACTTCCTTGATACTTGAAAAACCCTTTTTCATAAACAATTGTGCCGGTCTTAGCACCATTTGTGCGTCACTGGTGATTGGACGAGATTTCTCTTAGCGTTGCCCTACTTTGTTACGCAAGGATGCCCTCACTGATTAGCATTAGTAGATGACGTAATTTGAAGAAATTTTTACCACAATTCGATTGGTTTTCCTTATCTATGGGGCAAATTATTGAGCGGGTCTACTGAGGACTTTCGTTTGGAACTTCATACTCGCCAATTTTCATTGCCTAGTTACGATTTGAGCGAATTCCTTTTGTGGTGACGTCCCTCACCCACACATCACAATTTGTGTGTGTTAGATCAAAGCGGGGTCATCAACGATTTCCTATTGCCGGAAACATCAGTCTTCTTGTTCCTTGTGTTGTACCAATTAGTGGGACATCGGATTGTCTTTGCTTCATACACATACCTTATTCGTATCTTTTGTAAGTGAGAATTATTCTGATTAAATCCATTGACAATTCTGCTATGTCTTTATCTTACGCGTTTCTGTTTACAACTTACTTTTTACCTACTGTAAAATGTAGCATATAAGGCCAATTATCATCCACAACTCTGTGTTGTCTATATAGTTTTGCAAGATCTGCGCATAACTCAACATGCAGCTTCTAACTAACAGCTGTAGCAATAGTAGAAAAAAAATACTTTGTATACATTATTTTTAATCCACTTTAATCCACTTGTTGATCTCATGCTATCTAGTGCTAGTCAGTACTAAGGGTTTTTGATTTGCATCTAGAAGATTCTTTTGACAGGTATCTCCAGCCAAGAGAATTGAGTGGTGTGCAAAAATACGGCCTCAGGCGGGAATCGAACCCTCTCTTCATCCATACCGGGCACGCGTGCTCCTACCACTGCACCACCGAGGCACATTTGCGCCACCACTCATTCTTCAACATCTCTATGATAGCTAACACGGTATAGATGAAACGCGGGCTGAATTCCCGGCTAAGACCGTGTTTTTGCTCAATACTCAATTCTCTTCGGCATATGTAATATAATAACACTGCGGAAAAAAAACAGTAAAAATACTAGAATTTCGGAGTATTATATCTCCAGCCAATTAGTCGCTAGGCAATGTGGTGTGTATTCAGATAGCGGATAGGGAAACGACTCAAAAGCAAAAATCCCATGTTTACTGCGTGATAAAAATAAATGAAGGTGATAAGAATAAATAACGATGGTGCATTGCCTCTCTTGGCTGTGCCGAACTGGTCTGTACATCCTGTGAGCGAGTGTATATGCTCTGCATGCTTACGTGGACGCTTACATTTGTGCAGATTTTATCCACTATTCGGTGACTTTATAAAATACCATTAATCAGAAGATAGCAAAATTCATGGGAGTTGATTTGAAGTTGTTTTCTTCAAAAAAGCACTTCAAATGCTTTGGGCATTATGAGAGTTAGGATATTTTTCGCCAAAAATAGTGTAAATTGAGGGTCAGTCCTTTCTTGTTCAGCTCTTTATTTCAAGCTGTTGATAAAATGTTAAGCGGACTGGGTATGAAATTTTCAGGATATAAGGAAAAGTAGTAATAAATAAATATTTTGTTTATTTACTTTTGCCTTTATACAGAAATTCAATGCTAAGCGCTCATATAATTAGCAAAGTGTCTGAACTTCAAAATAAAATTGGGATAGTGAAAAGAACCATTGTTCATCTATTCCCCTCTTAAGCTAAGACGTAGTTCTTATTAAAAACTATTCATAAACAGTAAGTTTTTAGAAAGAAGACAAATTGATGTGGTATATGTTTTACGCTATATTTGCCAGAATTAACTTGATAAAACAAATAGATTAAAGTGGTTATTTGTTCGAATTGAGAACGATCATTCCCAGAAACAGAATATCTGTTCTAAATTTTTCAGAATAGCAGTTCCATTTTAAAACAATCTCGGCAGTTTCTCATGATCTCGCTTGAAAGCTATCCGCTGCTCTATCATTACTTGAGATATTTTTGCCATTCAACTAGATTATCCATTCGCTCATATTGTCAGGAATGTGCCTTCTAATTTTCCTCGTTTGCCCTACGCTGATGCTCTTTGAATGATTTATCTACTTAAAAGTTTTCTCTTACTTCTGAACCTCATGTATATTATATAAATGTACGCCTCTCCATTTCCCTTCATTTGCATAGTCAGTCGTACTGATTCTGTCCATCATAACGTTGATGAGGATTTTTGTCCGTAAAGATCGCAACATTTTCCGATGGCTGCCTTTGGGTAAATAGCCTTCTTTGGGAGTGCTTATCATTAATCAGTGACTTGACTCATGCAGATACTCAGTTTATTTGTTCTTCTTTGTAGCGAAGTTTGTTATGAATAATCATGTGGTAAATCTTTGAAAAGATGGCTTTTCTTTGAGTTGTGACTCACCATGGATGGTTTGGGTCGTCATAATAAACTCAGATAGCCTCTCACCTTGTTCATTCCATTCTAGTCCGTGGGTCACAATGTGACGTTCCTCAGAATTTCGCCTAGGTCCGATTTTCGTGTTAAAATCTCCAACAATGACCTTGAAAAAGGTATGGTCTCTTTCTAAGAACATTTGAGGTCCATATGAAAAGCTCTGACTTCGCCTTGTAATAAGTTGATATTGGTGCGTAGGCAACGAAGATGCTCAAAGCCGGCATTGATCAAGATCGTTTCAACCGCAATCGTCCGATACGGATTGTTAGTTGTTCGAATGAATCGAAAATTCGACTAGACGAGGACGTCAACGGCGCCAACACCTCTGCGATAGCATGTTCCAGGAAACCGTTCTTCTCCGGTGTCATAAACAGCGTGAAAAGGTGGCGTCTTCTCGTCTCAGCCAGGCCAGTGACGTCGTACACTATCCTTCTTGCTTGAATCAATAGATATTCTACAGCGGATTCGTGAGCAGGTTTTCTTGTATTATAGGTACAGATCGCCATTGTACTCCGTTTCCATTTTGGCGGCCTAGTTCGGACCTGAGATTTTAGCAGCCTCTCCGCTCGTCCTACCTGGCGCTGCCGTTTGCTTTTCACAAACATTGGAACGATCGCGCTGGTGTAGATGGTGACGCGACAGAGATTTCCTTGGCGTTTTCCATGTTCGAACCCAGATCTCACTCTTTCCGGTAGCGTATGCTACCCGTTGCAAACGCGTACGCCCCCGGAAAGAGTGAGGTCTGGGTTTGAATCCCGGATGACGCACATGTTTTTGCACAGCACTCCACATTAAAAATTTCATAGTCTCCAAAAAGAATTTCAACTGACTCAAGAAAATCTACTCTCTCAATAATTTGTTACCTGATTTTTCTGCAACAAACTTGGTTACAAAATGATCTCGTCAGAAAAAAAGGAGCATTTCTAAACCAACAAGTGAGAAGTTAATAAGTAGACACACTTTCACGACTTGTGCTTGTTATAGCATCTACATACGTTGCGCTTCTGACTAACCATGGAAGCTCTAGGACAAACTTTTTGCACACAAAAATAAACCACTAAAAAGGTGTGACATATGTAGATGTATGTCGCCGTCAGTGTGTTAGAGACACGCACCTTAAAGAACTCTCCGGTCTAACATCTATGACGTCTGCTTCTGCTACGTACCTTAGGCTATTCATGTGATGGATAATCAAAGTCGATAGATTGTTTGAAAACTTTATCTTTTTCTCTTTAGCCGGAAATCGACATTCAATCTTAGTAATGGTCCTCAATGCCTGCATTATTTCAGGTGCACAGTTTCTCGCTTTCACACCCCACGGTCTTGCTCACTTTTATTATTTGACTTTCTGCATTGTTTCAGTACATACGTCAATAGAGAGATTAGAGAAGCTTTAATTCATTATTTTCACTGATGAGATAGACTGCTGATCTATTTTCCACTAGACTTTTGATGTTTGCGAAATACTGATGGAATGGCAAGATATGGTATGATTTATATGTCTGCTCTGGCGAAGGCGTTGCGCTGAAAGGTTAACCATCGAGTTTGAGAAAAAGAAGAAATTACCAACCTCGTGCAAGTTTTAAAATAAAGAAAAGGACAGTTTGTGAGAAATTCTGCATTTCTTCATTTCTGCCGAGGTTAGAGATAGTCGAATCTTTGAGTTATTACTAATAATATTAACGTAAACAAGAGGTAGTGACGATTTCTGCTTGATTCCACTGCTCTTTATTGGTTACAAACATGGCTTCACCGATGCAACGATTCACTCCATTCAAAAGCTCGGAGCCAAGCTTTATTTTCACCTCTTGATAAAGAAAAAGAAATGAAATGAGAGAGAAGGTGTAATAGATGGTTTTTTCTACGTATCACTGTGAATGCGAAGCTTTCATCTCCAAAATCACCTTCTGTCGTAAAAAGATTTCACATCAAAGTCAACAAGGATGTTTTTCTGAGATCTCCGGAGCATGATCAGTAATTTCACAGAAAGAAGAAACTCGATAGGCACGTTATTAAAAAAGCTAATTTTGAAGTAATATCAATTAAACGTTTAGTTGTACATGTTCTGCAACCTTTTGCACTAATTCCTCCCCACAGGTCGGCCTTAAATGGCATATATCTAAGGTGTATTGCAAAATACATTTAGCGATATATATATATATATATATATATATATATAAATGGGAGGGAGATTGACATGCACTACGCAGTTGCAATAAAACTGGGAAATACTCTGAATCTGGGCTTTCTTTCAATGATGTTTCATCAAGTACCTTCAACCTTCATGTTGGCAGAAGCTATCTTTTGAAAAAGATTCAAAATAAAAGGTTTTCTTCTCACAAGAAAGAGCTCTGATGCAGCTGAATAGCTTAGATAACTCACAAAATGGGTAGAGACATGCAGATAGCGCGGGGTCGAGTAAAGAAACGCTTAGTAGTGATATAGCTAGCTGAATGTCTTGAGTACGTTTACGCATTAAGTATATGTGTACCTGCCAGAGTTGTACGCAGTCGTATGTATTGGCGAGGAATCAATCTATCACGTGCCTGTTACGCTTTTGCTTCAAGAGGGTTAAACAGGTTAGAAACAACGTTTCGAAGTTTCGAATAACTCTCTGACTTCTCTCATATAGCAGATACGGCCCACGCTAGTGTTCGCATTCACCGTTAGTACTAACGAAACGCATGTTTAAGTATTTTCAACTGTCCTAACTTAGAAAAAAAGGGTCTTTGGCAACGGTGGCAAAGCACTTGCTTTGTCATAGCTCCAATATATTGCTCTATTTATCAGAGTTTTATATAACTAAAGCTTATTTTCCTCCGTAGCAAAATTATTTATTATTCGTCTTCGACTGTAGACTCGTAGTGAATACTCCACCGGTTTTCACAAGGGCAAGTAGGACATCTCTAGGTGGCAAACAAGAAATAGAACCTCTAGCATTCTCATGCTTCTATGAAACAAATTGGTCCAGGAATCAACGCCGGACTGACAGACTGACATGAAGCTTTTGTGTGTGCCTAACCATCCATACTGATACTTGCTTTCGTGTTTGTGTTCTCACATACCCCACATTTTTTCTATAGATAAAATTTCCTGGAAGTATCCAATGACAACTGGTCAATACATGGAGATAGTCGTGGTTATTTCCGATTACTAAGTAAGTTCTCAGTCAAATGGTGACAACGGAGATGTCGACGAGTTATACATCGCTTTGACAAAATTCTTTGAACTCCATGCCTTCTATAGAGTGATTGACGACAAGCAGTTGGTTAATGATGGAAAAGGGTGCATGTGGCACAATAGTTAGAGATGCCCTACGAGACATATTCGTGGCCTTTGGCTAAATTCCTCATTTCAGGCTCACCAAGCCTTCTATACTTTCGAGGTCGCTGAATTGGCGTGGCCTTTTCTGAGAGTATAGCACCACTGAATTGACATCAGTAGACTACCGCAAGTCATG